GGTGGCTGCGATGATGGGCTCAAGTATAGCGGGGATTGTGGGGCTGGCGCGGGATCGGGCAGTGTTTCGTTCTGCTGTTCATGGGGTCGCTATGAGTTGGCAACGACTTGACGGCACTTAACAACAACAACATATTCAATATTGTTATCATGAAAGAGTGTTGGATTTTGTCAAAAGCCTATTCTACATCAGTTGAAATGATGTTCTTTTCTTCTGTTTTATTAATATGGTTTATATTACATTTTCTTAACGTTGAACCACCTGAGATGAATCTTCCTTGATCATAGTCCTTTTTAATCTTGTTGGATTTAGTTTGCTACTATTTTATTGAGAGTTTTTATATCTATATTCATAAGGGATATTTTATAGTTTTCTTCTCGTGATGCCTTTATGTGGTTTGGGTGTCAGATATTACTGGCTTCAGAAGGAGTCTGGAAGTTTCTTTAAACCACTATTGCTAAACTTACTACATGTTCAGATTTATATTTATTGTCTGTTTTTCTGCCTATTGCCCCCGTTTCAGAAACTGATAGCACTTTTTAGAAATGAGTGGTTTACAAGCAAGGAACTTTCAGAGGGAACAGGATGAATCTTACATACATGGGCTGCTGAGTCATTTTTAATTCTTAGTGATTTCTTGTAAAACATTTGTAGTTAGTGACCATTCTTGGTAAGGCTTATCAAGGCTTGATCAAATCAGGTATGTAAATGCATAGCACTTTTATAAATGTGTAGACATTTTACCAAAAAAGGGAGCAAGAGATAGAAAGGTAACTGTCTTTATGCTTAGCATTTTTGACCATTATTAGTTACTGACAGTGTACCTACCTTTGGATAGCTAGCATTGAGCTAGTTTTCATTGCCAGAGGGAAGATGGATAGACAGAATATAAAACCAAGAGTCAAGGGTCTACAATGGATTTGTAGAGATTTGCACTTTTGTCAAATTTTAACTTCTTTCTAATTCTTTTTCCTCATATAGGAAATAGGAATAGTTTGTATCCCCTCCTACTTTATAAAGCCTTAGTTCCAGTATCTGAATCAAGAATAAAAATTAACTTTTATAGCATGCTGTTGTTAGATGCCATTGAGTTTTGTTCTGATGCATAGCAACCTTATGTTAAATAGAATGAAATGTTGCCCATTCCATCCTCATACAAGTTGCTAAATTTGAGCCTATAATTGCAGCTACTGGGTCATTTCATCTCATGGAGTGTCTTCCTCTTTTATGCTAACGCTCTACCTACCTAAGCATGATGTTCTTTTCTTATAACATTTTCAAAGTCAGACAGAATCTTACCATATTCACTTCTTAGGAGGATTCTGGCTTTACTTCTTCCAAGGCAGATTTGTTCACACTTTTGGCAATCCATTCATTATTCACCAACACCATAAGTCAAATAAATATGTCAGTCTTTCTTTGGTCTTTTCCTTTTTTAAAAAAAAAAATTTATTGTGATTTGGGTGAAAGTTGACAGAGCAAGTTCATCTTCCATATAGCAGTTTGCATACACTTTGTCTCATGTCATTGACTACAACCTCCTACCTGCAGCAGCTCTCCAGCCACTTCCTCCCCATACCACCTCTTCCCAGTGTCCTTCCCTGTCGTGCACTCCCGCCCCTGTTGTGTCTCCCTGTGCATACACAGTCCTTCATTCCCGTGCACTCCTGCCACCCAAGCTATCTCCCTATGCATACACAGCCCTTCTATTCTCCCATGACTGATCTCTCCAAGGCGTGTATCTACCTAATGTAAGTATTCAGCTCATATGCCTGTCTTTTGTTGGCTGGAAGCCATAGGTGTGTATTCAATTCCAGACCTGAAGAGCAACTAGGGGCCATAGTCTCAGGAGTTCCATGAGACTCTATCAGACCAGCAAACCTGGTCCCTTTTTTTTTTTAATGATTTTGAGTTTTATTCCACATTGTTCTCCCACTCCATCCAGCATCTCCTACATAGATCCCCCTCTGAGTGGTTGACAGTGGTAGCCAGGCAATATCTAGTTCTTCTGGTCTCATAGTCATATTGGCTGAGGATCACATGGTGTTTATCAGTCTCTTGGACTAATTGTTCCCATGTGTCTTTGGTTTTCTTCATTCCTCTTTGCTCTGGACGAAGAGAGACCCATTGTTATATCTGTATGGCTGCTTGCAAGCTTTTAAGATCTCAGTCGTTACTCACCAAAGTAGGATGTGGAACAATGTTTTTGTGTAGTATGTTGTGCCAGTTGAGCTGGATGTCTCTTGAGACCATGGTCCCAAGCCCACAGGTCCAACTACTTGCTCCCTCTGGGTAGCTGGCTATAGCCAAGAAGTGACTACAACCTTGTCCCTTGTCAGCTCTACTATATACCTGGAAATTCTTACAGAACATACAAATACAATTGTAGAAACATTGTCTGCCACTGTCATGGGCACACCACCCTTGCACAGACATACCTAATAGTTCATTCTGTCCAGCCATCTATCTACCTGTAGATCAATGTTTGCCTTCACTAACAACACAGTACTGTACGTGCAGAAGGGTTCTTCTTTGTTGTCCCATGCAGCACCTCCCATGCACCTCTCTCTGACTTCCTCTTCCTCAGTGCCACTGTATTGATCACTCGTACTTGGTGGTACATTGCCTTTCCCTTCACCCAAATCAGAACTTGCCTCTACCTATCTAGCAGTGTTCCCTTCTCTCCCCTCCCACCCCGGTAACCAACAAAGAAAATTTCCTTCCATATATAAACCTTTCCTTGACTTTAAAATAATGGACTAATAAAATATTTGTCCTTCTGTGATTGACTTATTTCACTCAGCATAGTGTCTTCCAAGTTCATTCATGTTGTGTGGTGTTTTACAGATTCTACGTTATTCTTTAGGGTTGTATAATATTCCATTGTGTGTATGTACCATAGTTTGTTTATCCATTCTTCAATTGATGGGCACCTAGGTTGATTCCATCTTTTTGCTGTTGTAAATCATGCTGTGATGAACATGGGTGTGCATATATCTGTTCTTGTCCTGGTTCTCACTTCTTTAGGATATAAATCTTTCTTTGGTCTTTCTTATTCATTGTCCAGCTTTCAAAGGCAATTGAAAATACCATAGCTTGGGTCATATGAGGACTTTAATCCTCAAAAGCTGTACTGAAAGAATTTCAACTGTACTGAAAGAATTAGGTCAAGGAGAAGTCAAAGGTCATTCAGAAGTTTATAAAAGTTTATGCAACTCATTTGTGTTATTACAGGTACAGAAGAGGAATTTCATAGAAAATATTATTCCAATTATCATCTCCCTGAAGACTATGCTGGAGAAAAGTAAAATCCCAGCTTTGCGCGAACTCATGGCCTACCTAAGGGTAAGTGGCAACCACTTATTTTTGTGGTTATGGCCCACCACAAGTCCGCTACTCAACATCTTCTGGTAGTTAGCATGATTGAGCTCAAAATGTTGCAAATTTAGCTCTAATCATTTTTAATATGCCTGACAGGCTTTTATCTACTGAGGAGAAAGTGGAGAGTTCGCTGAAGTTGTTTCTTCCCTTTTGCATGCCATTGAGGTTATGAAAAGCTGAGTTGCTATACAGAGAACATGATTCTTATTCAGTGTTGAGGATTTTCTTAACAAGGATCAAGAACAAAGCCATCCTCTTAGCTCATTTTAGTGCGGGATAAAGCGAAAATTGGTCATCATGTATAATTTTAGGGTGTTTATCTTTAACACTTTCTCAGATTACAATATCAGGAAGTCATAGCCCACTAACAGTGTGCCTTAGGGGACTACATATTGAGGCTGGCTATCATCAGAGAGCTGGACTCTCTATCTGTGAAGCTGGGACCCACATAAGTCTCAGTCTGTGAAGGTCTACATGAGCGCAACATCTTTCAATTAGAAATAAAGGCAATATTTTTTCCTCTTTAACTGAGCAGTTATTTCATATGACACCTTTAAAAAAAAATGCTAAATTTTGTTTAAAAAAGGACTATAACAAAATTATACTGAATTTTTCAAAGAGCTTTTTGTTCTAGAGTAGTTAAGATGGGAAAGATAAGCTAATTGTATGGAAAAACAAGAACTTCCAATTATTTTTATATCTTTATTGTCTTGTTTTAAGGAAGGAAAAATAAGAGCTTAGATCCTAAGAGACCACTTAGACACTTAAGAAAATAAGTCTGTCTCCTGTTTCTGAGATACATAAAGAGGATGGCTACAGTATTGCTTTAATTCTGTAACACAGCATTTCTTCATTTTAAACTTTCTGTAATGGATAAGTGCTTGACTACTAACCAAAAGGCTGTCAGCTTGAACCCACTCAAAGACACCTCAGAAGACAGGTCTGGTGATCTGCTTTTTAAAGATCATAGCTTTGAAAAACCCTATAGAACAGTTCTACTCTGTAACATCATAATCTGTAGCACATGGCGTCACCATAAGTCAAAATTGACTTGTTGGCAGCTAACAACAATAGTATTTGATGACACCTAATGACTAAAGCAGCCAGAGTAAGCCCTGCTCTCACTGGCAGCTGGAGAATTGACTGATAGCCTTCTCTCTGTTGGACTTCTGTTATAGTTAGGGCTTTTTCTTCTCCCTAACACTATTAGGCAAAATGATTTCTTTCTCTTAGCAAAGGGACTTTATCCGTAGCAGCTCTCTGTAAGACCTGAGAATGATAAAGATCTCACATGATAAAAGCTTTTCCACAGCATCTTTAGAGAGGATACAAGAATGGTAATAAAGCTGTAGTTCTAATTTCCTGAAAGTCAGTGGGGAAAGCTAGTATAGGTAGTTGAGCAGCTTTGAGATTACACTGCATCCTGTGACAGACACCAGAGGTCTTGTCTGAGCAAGGGGAACACCATTCCTATCTAATTGTCTGACCTCTGAATTCGCTTCTGACTGGCCTCCTTTGGTGACTACAAGATCCTTTGAACTGTGAAAACCCAGTGCTAGACCAGACCACCCCAATGCATCACTGTTCCCATCCCAGCCTCAGGTAGTGATTGGTGGTAGTCTTGAATCCTGTTATAAGTTCTGTACTAGGCTAAAATTGCATGATTCAATGTCCTTTATCCCACAAGGAACCTAGAAAATTGCCAGTGAACTAGCATAAGCAGGACGCTTCCTAAAAGATCAAAACTACTAGTTAATATGTCACATCTTGCTCACTTGTTTTGTATGGTAAATACAAGTATGGTTGATATTTCTTGGGAATATGTCATTATGCTAATTAACCTTTTAGTTGATGTAATAGAAAGAGTTTGCTGTTAGCAAAATAAATATTCTAAACTTCAGGAAAATTATTTAATCTTAGGTTGGAGAGAGCTTATTTTTTTGGAGGGGTTTAACTTTTTATTGTGATGGGTGCAATTTTACAAAACAGATTTGTTTTACATTCACCAATTTGTACACATTTTGTTTTGTAACACTGGAGAGCTTATATTTTATTTGAGAAAATACCAAAGAATGTTTCTGGGTCTCTTTCAGGAGGTGATGCAGGATTACAGAGATGAGATCAAGGACTTCTTTGCAGTTGACAAACAATTGGCATCAGAACTTGAGTATGACATGAAAAAGTACAATGAACAACTAGCCCAGGAGCAGGAGCTGGTGAAGCAGCCAGATGTGTATAGGCCAGCTGAGGGGGCCAACATGGCACCAGTGGGGCAGGTAGGAAGAGTGCCTCCTTGAACTTGATCCTGCTTTACCAACTGCTTTCTGCGATCAGTTGTTCTATCATCTCTCAGAATCCAGAGATGATCCAAGATCAGGCTGGGTTAAACCTTTGCATGTCCTTTTTATTGCCACCGTCATGCTCATTTCTTAAGTGAGATATATAGGCCACTCAGCCATGGACAGGTTAGTTTCCTTTTCACAAAGCCATGCCACATGAATTTGTCTACAACAACATTGTGATAACAGGGGAGATGTATGAGTACCCAGAAAGCGAGCCCACAGTTAGGCTATTTGATCTTTGATTATAGTGATTCTCTCGGAAGGAAGGTTAGGCGATCTACTTATGTAGTGATACTGCCTCGGTAACCCAAGGAGGGATCACTCTGAGTTGAGTCCGACTCAACAGCACATAACAACAACAACAGAAGTTTTTGTTTGCTGTCTTTCCCCCAACATACCTTCCTCTCTAGAGAATATTGTCACTTAGAGTACTTCTAGGCTTACCTACTGCTCACTTTCAGAACACAGTTCCCGGAAGAATCCAGATATATCTGTTATATTGAAAATTGATGAGGACAACTACCTTAATCTTTTATGTCTTCTTTAATGCCACAGCATTACTTGTGGCAGTCGGCCCATGGTAATGTTTGTGAAGAAGCTCAACTTATCCAGTGTTGACATGTTTTTAAAATAGCTTACTCACAGACTTGTTAATAGTGAGGATTCCATAGAAAACAAATGTTAGAAGGTAAATATTTATCTTCTCTGACAGGTTGCTTTGAATTTAGAAATAATTCCAGCTCCTGTTGGCCAAGAAAATGCAGCTGTGGCTTCTGGTGGGAGCCGTCCGTCAACACCTAGATCATGCACTGACAGAGTATCTCCTTTGCCTCCTTCAACTGACACTGGACCATTAAAGATGTTAATGCCCAAAGCCAGGTATAGTACCCACAGAATCCCAGAGACCCCGCTACTGCAATAGGCCTTATCAGTGTGAGTGCTCCCTGTGAGGTTTGAGCAAGTGTAGATGAGTAATCCACTGGAAGGGAATGGATAGTGTGATTGCACTGTGTTCACTCTGAGCTTTGTGCTAAGTGTACAGTTAGAAAATCAACATTTGTGGTGTGTTCTCCTCCACAGGCGCATGTCCCTGAGCACTATTGCAATCCTGAACTCTGTCAAGAAAGCTGTAGAGTCAAATAACAGACATCGGAGTCGGAGCTTAGGACTGCTGCCTTTCACTTTGAATTCCAGAAGTACAGACAAGAGCAGCAATCATGGTATACCTTTAAGTTGGCACTGGGAGAGTAGTAGAACTCCTTGATGTTTGGTCACAGATAAAAGTGACAGCATACAGATTAACACACAAACAGAACAAGGTTGCTGCTTCTCATTCTGTTTAAAGTGGTTTCTACTTCTGTATTATTATAACAAATAACATTAATTGAAGATTTAGATTTGTAGGTAATAAAACAATGCATATTTATGATAAAAGATTTGGAAAATTGAGCAAAAGATAAAGTTCATCCATAGGAGTTAAATATGTATCTTTCTAGTCTTTCTGCTCCTCACTGTCACGTATGTTTTATGTGTTATCTATAAAGTTGTGATCATAGTGTACATTATTTTATAATCTGCTTTGCAGCACACACTTAGACTAATATATGGTGAAAAGTGCACAACTTTTCAACCAATAGCTTTACAGCATTTCATTTTGGGAAGTACTATAAATTATTTATTACTACCCTATTCTTGGGAGCTCTGGTAGCATAGTGCCTAAGGCACTTGACTGCTAACCAGAAGGCTGGCGGTTCAAACCCATCAGCCACTCCTCGGAAGGAATGTTGGGCAATCCTACTTCCGTAGCGATACTGCCTCGGAAACCCAAGGGAGGGGTCGCTATGAGTCGGGGCCGACTCGACAGCAAATAACAACCACCACCACCCTATTCTTGGAGATGCAGGTGTTTTTCAGTTTTTTTTATATACATAATGTCACAGTGAACATCCTTGAACATAAAATTTTATATGTATGTAACCCTTAGAGTTAACTTCCAGAAGTCACAGGCCTTGAATATTTGAAAAGGTCTTCCATAATTCATATCCAGCTATGTCTTTCATTAGAAACACTGGGTTTATAAATCTATATTGTCTTATTCTGATATTTATAGACCAAAAATGTCATCCTTTTAATTTCCATTTCTTTGAATACTGGTGAGGATGGACATTTTTTCTCATGTTTATCATATATTTGTTTCTTTTGGAATTGTCTCTTTTTATAGGAATATTTCAGATATGTTGTTGTTGTTGTTGTTATTTGCCGTCAAGTCGGCCCCAACTCATAGCGACCCCTCCTTGGGTTTCCGACGCAGTATCACTACGGAAGTAGG